GCCTCAAGGGGTACAACCCTTTTTCAACAGCCCCTCATCCATGGACCAGCCCCAGCCTTGGCCCCCCCCCCACCCACCCACACACCCACACACACACCTTGAGCATCTGGATGAAGGCCACGGTGAGGTAGAGGTAGACGAGGTTGCCAAAGTGGAGGGTGAGGGCCATGAAGAGGCCCACGGGCAGTATCTTGGTGCAGTAGAAGCGCCACGTCATCGTCTTCTTGGCCTCAACAAACTTGAACACCTGCCCAGTGAGGGCGCCAGGGAAGGGAAGGTGGATGGCAGCAGCGCACCAGGCCGGGCGACAGGTGCAGGCGGCGGGCCCGCGGCCGCACATGCAGGCAATGCGCGGGCAGGCTGGGGCTGGCTGGCGCATGCAGGCTCGCGGCCGAGCGTGCAGCACCCCGGCACGCTGGGTGGCTCGCTGGGAGGCGTGCTTGGCTGGCGGGCTGGGCGGCTGCGCGCGCGTGGCGCATGCGGCGGGGCAGCGCCACGCACCCGGCAGCAGAGCGTGCTGGCGCAGGCGCTGAATGCCATGCCCAGGCCCGACAGGGCCATGGGGTAGTGGAAGCCGTGGGACAGCAGGTCTTTGTTGAGCAGGATGAGGCCAGAGGAGACCGACATCCACGCCACGCTGGCAATCACGGCAATGACGACCTGCGGGCGGGCAGGGGCGGTCAGCCAGGGGTGTGCGCACGCTCGGGCAGGCGGTGTGTTGGCCGGAGTAGATGGTTCCTGACAGGAGAGGGATGGGCAGAGAGCAGGGGCAAAGCCTGTGCGAGGCTCTGCTCACGGCGGCAGCAGGCAACCGCCCCCCCCCACATGCGCCGGCCTGTACCTTTGAAAGCCCAAACAGCTTGAATTGGTGCGACGAGTCGCCCCCACCATTGCTCTGAGCCTCCACCGCCTCCTGCCCCTTGGGGCGGCGCGCGGTGGGTTGGCTCATCTGCTTGCGGCCCGGCAGCTCGGCGGCGGCACTCGGCTGCGGGCGGCGGGTGGCGGCAGCGAGGTCGGCTGTGCAGCACAGCTAAGGCGGCGCTGGATCAAACAGGGCCTCCAAGCGGGCCTGGCCCTCGCTGGCCCCGCAGCCCTGCTACCCGCCGAGAGTTGGTTTGAGTAGGAGCTGACTCGCCACCACCTAGCCCTGCTCGCGGCGGCAAGGGACTGATCGCTCACCTCCTAGACAACGGGGCAGGCGTTGCCTCCGGCCAAGCGGCGACAACAACCCCTGCCGACGTTTCACTCCCAATGCTGAGGGCTGTGGGGTGGTCAAGGGAATGCAGATCGCAAACAAGTATCGAACAAGGCGATCGCAGGATTGACATGTCCAACCCACCCCGCCTGTACTGCCGCCTTCGCCGCTACCGCTGCAGCAGCCACCCAACCACCGTTGGGCCCAGTTGTACATGCACGCTGCTACTTACATTATGAGCCAACAGCAGGAGGGGACATAATATAGAAGCGGGATAATAGAGGAAGAAAAAAGAGATCATGAGGTGATCAGGCGGGAGCGGGGCGGCAGGGCTCTCGCGCTGGGACAGCCCAGCTGCCTGCCACCTACGCAACGGCGAGCAGCGGAGGCGAGGGATTCCGCAGACATCGGATCAGTGCTGGAAGTTGCGCACACAATGAAAGCTGCCTGAGCTTCCAAAAGAAATAGCAAGGGTGTGTGCAGGGCACAGCGTGCCTGGGCTGAAGCGCAATGAAGATGCTGGGATGACCGAAGGGAAGGCTTTGGTACGCGCAGCACCGCACTGGGCGGGCACCGCTACTCTGGAGCCCGACAGGGGCGTGCGTTGAGGGGGTTCATTAGGGGAGAGGGGAAGGCACGGGTGCAAGGGACTGACACAAGGGGTGCTCGAGGCAGCGCATCAATGGGCAGCAATCACCCACAATCATGACACAACCACGGCGCTGCCTCCAAACGGGGACGGGTGCTCATGCGACCATGTGAGATCCAGGGCACCGGGGGGGTCAGAGAATTGTGGAAAGGGGGCACGGGATGGGACCCACCCAGAAGCGACCAGAAGCGAGCAGGAAGAAGGGCACAGACAGTCAGAATGCTGCATTCCCGCAGCTCGCTACCACGCAGTGACACAGCGCTAAGTATGGCTCGCCACTGGGAGCGGAAAAAAATAGCGCAAGACGGCAACACACTCCTCTTAGTGCAAGTGAAGGTTGGGGGGGGGGGGGGGGGGGGGGTCT